TGTGGCATGCGAAAAAAGTTTTGAAAACTGAGGGCAGCACTGAATGAGAATAGCTATGTATGTGAGCAAAAATAAGTACCTGTCAGAAATACATTTTCCTTGTACGAAAATTATAACTTTTTCTGACAATGGATGACATGATCTAGTGTGCAGCGGCATGGCAACTGAAAACGGCTATCTGTATACTGAAGTAGATGGAAACCCATTGTCTTTCTTCACCAAAACATTCAACCAGCCCCTTATTTCATTTCTAAACAATGAATGAACAAAGAAATCTTGTATCATCTTACTTTATTTTACATCATTCATATGCCCTATTAAAAGTGCATACAACTGGGATACCATTCCGCCCTATTGTTGATAACAGAGTATCGTCAACATTCTTGATTTCTAAATTTATTGTAAAAAAATTTTCTTTTTTAAACAAATTATCATATGTTTACAGTTAAAGATTTGTCAGAATTTATTAATAAGATTAAAAATATCAACATAGTGGAAAATGATAATTAGTTTCATTGTTAACAAATGCACCAAAAGGAGAAGTACTATGTTGTTTTGAAAGTAGGTTACTAGATAGCAAAATGTTTTCACATCTAGAAGTAGATATTTGAAATTTAACAAAATTATGTGTAAATTATAGTTATTTTAAGATTGTTGATAAAATTTATAAACAGAATAAAGGTTTGATCATGGGGTCATCTGTCATCTCTGTTAGCAGAAATTTTCATGTTTGAAACTCGGGCACTAGAACACCGGTGAAAAAAATCAAAGTTGTGGGTAAGATATGTAGAACAAAAACTGTTCATTTGGCCTTGGTGGAACATGTGGCAAACTCTTCTCATGATGTTGAATGGGATATGATTCCAAAACTTAAAGAAATTAAGCTAAAAAATTAATCAAACATAAGAGAATCTTTTGAAATTATTAAACATAAAATGATTTTGAATAGAGATCTAGTCCCAGGTGCTAGAGAAGTGAATTTTTGTCTAATATGCAAGTTAAACATGAGCATTTGCTGGTATAAAAAAAAAGATATATCTTCTGTTACTTCTGGTCTCCTGAAGATGGTGGAACTTTTTTCACCAAAACATGTAATGTTTTTAATTAATATTATTCTACTTTTAACTTTATACAATAAATTATTGAGCATTTTTAAATGTTGAATGTTCTTACTTATTTTTCTTAACTTGGGCACCTAATGATGATTGATGAATATTGGTGGAACATTTAATTTTTTTCCTCTGAAGTGTTTTTTTTATTTTATTTCAGATTTAACCCTATTGCTATAGGTCAAAGGTCATGTCATCGTGTTTGTTGACGTGCATTCAAAATTTTATTGAACTACTATTTTATGAATTTATGCCAATAAGTTTAGTATCAAACTGTAGATTGTAATTCAATTTTTAGTATTATACATTATTCAATTTCTTAATGTAAGAGTAAATATTGACAAAACACTTAAACGTTAATTTTTGTGTGTCACATGGTATGTTGAATGCATCACTGGTTCAAATTAAATGTTTTTTTATGTCAGAATACTAAGTCTATAGTTTTGTACGAATAAGGAACTCAGATTACCGATATTGACGAGCTAGAATATAAAATAAGAACCTTCAATCTTTTATATTTGCTGAGATATCACTCATACTGAATAAAACACAGTGGCCCCGCTCACATCTTTCTATTTTTGGAAATAGTCCCTTATGCACATTTACTTGTGTATATGACATATGAATAACTAATCAAAAGCTTAGAATATCCTCCTAATGGCTTTCTGAGCCATTTTAGTGTGTTAGGACGCCTTCTCGTTCTTTCGAAACAAGATTTCAAAGAAGTAGGTTGTGTCTTTTGCCTACTTGAAATTTCATATTTTTTTAAACTGAAATACAGCTCAGCTACAAAACCTGATAAATTATAATGTATTTATATAGTAATTTATGATGTTTTGTTTATTCAAGTGTATATATAAAACCTAAAAAAAATTATTTCATTTTACATCCTCCTCGTGCAAAATTGCTTAAGAAGCAGCAACAAGATTGTAACAAGAAGAGATAATTGTTTGCTTTACTTCTTCGTTTACTGTTCTGTGTTTTAAGAAAAACAAGTTTAAGAACTTGTTTGTAAATATTGATAATCTATATATACATAATGTATAATAATTGAAACGTGTTTGTATTTTACAATATACTAGTCCACTAAAACACAGCCAAGACAGGTCACTTTGTAAAGACTAAAGACCAGTTTTATATTATTGGATACGGTAACATGAGAGCACGTGTGTTGCATCATTGTAACTTCTGTATTGTTGGCCAGGCATGACTGGAAGGTCAATATAATAAAAATAATATATATCTATATAAATGTATAACGTTATGAGATTTAATATATTTAGACTAAACATTTGTGTTTTTTGTTCTAATTTGTAGTCATTCAAGAATGAAGAAAAGCATAATATATATTTATTTCCTAATTTTTATTGTGGTTACGAGTTGGTCAAAATGACAGACTGTGTATTGTTAGAGTAGAGAAAATAACAGACAAAATATGAAGTTTTACTGAAAACAAATGTTTGAAATGTATTTAGGAAGTTTTACACAAATAATATTTGAGATTTTTGGGACAAACGATAGTTTTTTAGTTATAACATGAAAATCACTTAGCACTTGGAGTGGTAATGAAACAGACTCCATATTTTCTCAAACCTCGTAACCACCAAAAATATAATTGAAATAAATCTAAATTACTCTTTTTCTTTCTAGAATGACTTCAAATTGTAACGTGAAACTACATTCCTTTATCTTAAGTAGCTGTTAAGTTTATAACAGTATGCATCTATTTATAATTAAATTTTATTATTTTATTGCATTTTGAACCATGTCTAACTACTATATGTGCCATTATTAGTTGTAAATCATTCTGAGAAGGTGCAGCTCACATTAAACTAATGAACCACATTACCCATGAGCTACTATGAGCTGCTCGTGTGTGTACCTTATGAAACACTTTTATTATAATATTAATATTATTTATTTACCTAATCTAAACTAACCTGAAAGGATCCTATTTTTACATTTTAGGTACTTTTATAATTAGACATAAAGAATAGACATGAAAAACAAGAAATAAAATATTTAACCAATCTTCTTTTTTTTTTGCTGTCGATTGTCGAGGAAAGTGAACCCTAAGTTTTTTATACCAATGATAGTAATGCACTTAATAATTTATATTTAATTAAATAATGCACCAAAGACTATAGACTAATAACATGGAAAAAGTAGACAAATTTCCTTACCTCTCAAAATTTTTCTGGCTTTCTAACTATGCGACTAACTATGTTGGTTACAAATTTATTCAAGCTAGTCATTAAATTTCTCAGGAGAATGATGTTGGTAGTCTGAGTGAAATTGACATCTAACCATTCAGAACATAAGGTTATACAGTATGTCATTTGATAGATGAAAACCTTGGCTTTCTATTGGTTATAGATAACATAGAATTAAACTTAAGAGAAAACTATTAACAAATCCTGAAAGAGAGGATGTGACAGGAGGGGTCTGATTTTCTATTT